TTTGAATGTACACAAATTGGCATACACTAAAATGAAATTTCGTTGCATTCAGCTCTCAAAAGGCTATCCTCCCCCATAGACATGACATAAATGTCACAAAAATAAATAAACACAGAACTGTGCACAAACCCACATATATTACACGACACAGAGAAACAACAGTCTAGTCCGAGTTTTGTATACACATGTGCATCTCTCCGTGCGTGAATTCCACCCACGAATTGTTGGATTTGCATTCCTATCCGTTGGATGGGGGGGGGGGGAGAAAAAAAACCTAGGCAAGTGATGCATAAAAGACATCTGGGCCAATCACCGGGAGACGGTGAGTTCTAGTCCCGCCTTAGGCATGAAAGCCAGCTAAGTGACTTTGGGCCAATCACCAGGAGACGGGGAGTTCTAGTCCCGCCTTAGGCACGAAAGCCGGCTGGGTGACTTTGGGCCAATCACCAGGAGATGGGGAGTTCTAGTCCCGCCTTAGGCACGAAAGCCGGCTGGGTAACTTTGGGCCAATCACCAGGAGACGGGGAGTTCTAGTCCTGCCTTAGGCACGAAAGCCGGCTGGGTGACTTTGGGCCAATCACCAGGAGATGGGGAGTTCTAGTCCCGCCTTAGGCACGAAAGCCGGCTGGGTGACTTTGGGCCAATCACCAGGAGATGGGGAGTTCTAGTCCCGCCTTAGGCACGAAAGCCGGCTGGGTAACTTTGGGCCAATCACCAGGAGACGGGGAGTTCTAGTCCTGCCTTAGGCACGAAAGCCGGCTGGGTGACTTTGGGCCAATCACCAGGAGATGGGGAGTTCTAGTCCCGCCTTAGGCACGAAAGCCGGCTGGGTAACTTTGGGCCAATCACCAGGAGACGGGGAGTTCTAGTCCTGCCTTAGGCACGAAAGCCGGCTGGGTGACTTTGGGCCAATCACCAGGAGACCAGCTTTGTGCAGAAAGCTCGGTTCTTTGATTTTTTTGGGGGGGGGGGGAGAGAGGATGGGAAATAAAACAAAATATCTTTATTAAGGGGATTGGTGGCAGGAAAGATTGGGTTCCCTTGGCAACCTGGCAAACGGATCCTTTCCACGACGTTGTGATGTTGTCGTACCTGTTGGGTCTGATGGGCATCAGCAAGCCGGTGACGTTTGCCCTTGAGGCAAGGAGGCTGACACGGGTGTGTGTGTGTGTGTATGTGTGTGTGTGCCGGACACGAGATCTCCCCCCCCCCCCGGGGAGCTTTGCAGGTTTGACTTAGCAATCCTGTGTTGTGTAGTTGACACAGAGAGGCAGGGTGAAACGAGATGTACAACAGGTTGGGGGGGGGAAGGATATGCTCCTTGTTATTTATTTATCTGTATTGCAACTCAAGGCGGTGGACACTTTGAATGCATGTTTCCCCTCCTGTATTACCCATGACAACCGTGTGAGTTTGATTGGACTGAGAGGGGGGGGGGACCGGCCCAAAAGTCACACACCAGGAACTCCCCGTCTCCTGGGGATTGGCCCAAAGTCACCCAGCCGGCTTTCAGACCTCAGGCGGGACTAGAACTCCCCGTCTCCTGGGGATTGGCCCAAAGTCACCCAGCCGGCTTTCAGACCTCAGGCGGGACTAGAACTCCCCGTCTCCTGGTGATTGGCCCAAAGTCACCCAGCTGGCTTTCAGACCTCAGGCGGGACTAGAACTCCCCGTCTCCTGGTGATTGGCCCAAAGTCACCCAGCCGGCTTTCGTGCCTAAGGCGGGACTAGAACTCCCCGTCTCCTGGGGATTGGCCCAAAGTCACCCAGCCGGCTTTCGTTCCTAAGGCGGGACTAGAACTCCCCGTCTCCTGGGGATTGGCCCAAAGTCACCCAGCCGGCTTTCAGACCTCAGGCGGGACTAGAACTCCCCGTCTCCTGGTGATTGGCCCAAAGTCACCCAGCCGGCTTTCGTGCCTAAGGCGGGACTAGAACTCCCCATCTCCTGGGGATTGGCCCAAAGTCACCCAGCCGGCTTTCAGACCTCAGGCGGGACTAGAACTCCCCGTCTCCTGGTGATTGGCCCAAAGTCACCCAGCCGGCTTTCGTGCCTAAGGCGGGACTAGAACTCCCCGTCTCCTGGGGATTGGCCCAAAGTCACCCAGCCGGCTTTCGTGCCTAAGGCGGGACTAGAACTCCCCGTCTCCTGGGGATTGGCCCAAAGTCACCCAGACAGCTTTCATGCCTAAGGCGGGACTAGAACTCACTGTCTCCTGGGGATTGGCCCAAAGTCACCCAGCCGGCTTTCGTGCCTAAGGCGGGACTAGAACTCACCGTCTCCTGGGGATTGGCCCAAAGTCACCCAGCCGGCTTTCGTGCCTAAGGCAGGACTAGAACTCACCGTCTCCTGGGGATTGGCCCAAAGTCACCCAGACAGCTTTCATGCCTAAGGCGGGACTAGAACTCACCGTCTCCTGGGGATTGGCCCAAAGTCACCCAGACAGCTTTCATGCCTAAGGCGGGACTAGAACTCACCGTCTCCTGGGGATTGGCCCAAAGTCACCCAGCCGGCTTTCGTGCCTAAGGCGGGACTAGAACTCACCCGTCTCCTGGGGATTGGCCCAAAGTCACCCAGCAGCTTTCATGCCTAAGGCGGGACTAGAACTCACCGTCTCTCCTGGGGATTGGCCCAAAGTCACCCAGACAGCTTTCATGCCTAAGGCGGGACTAGAACTCACCGTCTCCTGGGGATTGGCCCAAAGTCACCCAGCCGGCTTTCGTGCCTAAGGCGGGACTAGAACTCACCGTCTCCTGGGGATTGGCCCAAAGTCACCCAGCCGGCTTTCGTGCCTAAGGCAGGACTAGAACTCACCGTCTCCTGGGGATTGGCCCAAAGTCATGCAGCTTGCTGGCCTTTATAATACCGGTGGTCCTCAACTTACGACCACCATTGAGCCCAAAATGTTTGTCACTAAGCGAGACAGTTAAGTGAGTTTTGCCCCATTTTATGACCTTTTAAGTGAATCACCGCCATTGTTAAGTTTGTAACACAGCCGTTAAGCGAATCCAGCTTGATTCGGCTTGTTCAGAAGATCCCAAAAGGGGATCCCGTAATGCCGGGACACTGCAACCGTCATAACTACGAGTCAATTGCCCTGGCGTCTGAACTTTGATCCCATTAGCACAGGGAGGCTGCGATGGTCGTAAATGTGAAAAACGGTCATAAGTGCCGTCGTAGCTTCGAACGGGCGCTAAATGGACTGCTCTAAATCGAGGACTATCTGGGTTGATAGAAACGGCACACCCTGGCAAACCAGGATAGCTTCTAGCTTGTTGCCCCCCACAGGGAGGAAAAGATGTGTAAGTATTCAGCCTCGGGTTTGGTATAAATATTGCTCGGGTTTAAGGCACGGCAGTCGCTCCGAATCCTTTCATAAAATTTTGCTGTAATAAATTCCAGAGTTTTGGTGTCCTCGGAAGCCCGTTCTTGTGGTTTGTCGCCTAGCCAAAATAGCACAACATCCCAACTCTCAGCTTCGCAAAAACGCAGTTGCTAAATCCACATCGTGTGTTGGATGCAAACCACAATGGCTGCAGCTGCACGACTCATTTAACCCAGTTACCGAATCTGCCCACAATCACACCATGTCACGAAACGCAAATTAACCAAGCCACAAAAAGAGTCAACGCTCAGAAGCGTCCTTGCGTTGCGTGTTCACAGCCCCAGTGTCTGGATCAGCCAACACACCGGGGGGGGGGGGGAGTGAAGCTTCCATAACCCACAAACTAATTTTAGCGGCGGCTGATGTGCAAGTAGCTTCCCTTCGCTGGGGTTGGCCACGGGTTCTAAATGCGCTCGAACAAACGCACAAATAAAACGTTTCCTGCAAGGAGCGCAAAGGGGATCCTGCAGAATCTAAAGGAATCTTGCTAGCAGCTTCTCCAGCCAGCAAAGGAACGCTCACCTGCTTTTGAATAAAGAGGCTAACAAATTCTAGATTTTTGCCAGCACTGGCAAGTGTTCCTCGCCCTCAACAATTTTAAGATGTGTGGATGTTCCCTAGCCAGCATGTAGGGACTTCATACATATTCCCCATCCAGTTATCAGTGTCTCTGATTCTTAGAATGGCTCCTATTAATTCAGTTCAGAATAAAGCTTGAAGGGACCTTAGTAATGATGATACTACTACTACTACTACTAATAATAATGATGATGATGATGATAAAGTTGGAAGGGACCTTGGAGGTCATCTAGTCCAACCCCCTGCTCAGGCAGGAAACCCTAGACCAATGGTTCTCAACCTGTGGGTCGGGACCCCATTTGGGGTCGAACGACCATTTCACAGGGGTCGCCAAACAACGCAATCCGCCATTTTTTTCCCCTTTTCCTTAGCTGTGCTACTCCCTTTTATTCTACTGGCTTTTGAAAGCCAATAGAAGAGGCTCTCTTGAATAGGGTCTAATTCTATTGGTTTTCCAAAGCCAATAGGAATTGTCCAGGCTGTCTCTGCCCTGCTGAGCCCGCCAAAAGTCCCCTTCTGCAAACGGTGCTGCACCAGTTGAGTAGTCCTCGACTTATGACCGGTTGAGTAGTCCTCGACTTACGACCGGTGGGGGGGGGTCACAGCATTAAAAAGGTTGAGAACCACTGCCCTAGACCATTTCGGACAAATGGCTGTCCAGTCTCTTCTTAAAAACCTCCAGTGTTGAAGCAACCACAACTTCTGGAGGCAAGGAGTTCCACTGGTTAATTGTTCTAACTGTCACTTAATTCCTCCTTAGTTCTAGGTTGCTTCTCTCCTTGGTCAGTTTCCATCCGTTGCTTCTTGTCCTGCCTTCAGGCGCTTTGGAGAAGAGCTTGACTGCCTCTTCTTTGGGGCAGCCCCTGAGATACTGGAAGGCTGCTATCATGTCCCCCCTTTGTCCTTCTCTTCATTAAACTAGACAGACCCAGTGTTTTTTTGGGGAGGGGGGGAAGGTGCCGGAACTCACACATGTCATACAACTGCCATTCTGACAGTGCCCCAGTCTCAAAATTACTCTTATTTTTCTCTTTGCAGACCCAGGCCACCGGCATTCCTGGCGGATCTCCGGGGGCCACCCCCACCGTGTCCACTCCGGTCACGGGACACAAGCGCATGGTCATCCCCAACCAGCCTCCCTTGACCGCCACCAAAAAGTCGGCCACCCCCAAGCCCGGCATCCAGCCAATCCCGGTGACGCCCGTCGGCCCCTTGAAACCTCAGCCTGTCCCGGCATCCTACACTACGGCCGCCACCCCCACCCGCCCCCCCTTCAACGTGCAGGTGAAATCCGCTCATCCTGCCCCCCACTTCCCACCCTCGCCCCCCCAGTATGGCGGCCTGGCCCCCCAGCCTGCTTCTTCAATAGGGCCCTATGCCCCGGCTCAACCTCGGGCGCCCGATTACGGCTACGTGCCCCCGCCGGTCGGTTACGGCTCCGCGCCCCCACCGAGTCGCCAGCCAGAACCGGCCTATGCTGGGAGCGCCTCCCTCAGAGGCTGGGATGGAGCCGAGCCTTCCTATGGGCCCCCCAGCGCCTGGAAGCCTGAGCCAGCGTACCCTCCAGCTGTGGGGCAGTACCCGTCCTCTGGAGCCAGGAAGAGCCACGGCTTTGAGCCAGCACCAGCCTCTCAGCCGCCTGCTTTGCAACCAAAGGTAAGGACCCAGGAAAGATGTAAAACTGGCATGCTTTGGGTTATCTATCTATCTATCTATCTATCTATCTATCTATCTATCTATCTATCTATCTATCTATATCTCTCTCTACCCATCTATCATCTCTATATATATCTGTCCATCCGTCCCCTAATCGTCTATCAATCGAATCAATTATATCTCCCTCTAGCATTATGTATCATCCATCTATTCATCTATTCGTTTATTATCTGTCTGTCTATCTGTGTCTGTCTATCTGTCTAATCTGTCATCTATCTATCCAGCCATCTGTATCAATCAATCAATCTTACCTTTCTATCATCATTTATCTGTAATTTACCTCTCTCTCTCTATCTATATCCATCTATCTATCTATCTATCTCTATCTATCTATCTATATCTGTCTATCTCTATGTATCTCTCTCATCTATATCTATCTCTATTTATCTCTATCTCTCTCATCTCTCTCTATCTATCTCTATCTCTCTACCTCTCATCTATCTATCTATCTCTATATCTCTATATCTATATGGCTATCTCTATGTATCTCTCTCTCATCTATATCTATCTATCTATCTATCTATCTATCTATCTATCTATCTATCTATCTATCTATCTATCTATCCCTATCTATCTATATCTGTCTATCTCTATGTATCTCTCTCATCTATATCTATCTATCTCTATTTATCTCTATCTCTCTCATCTATCTCTATCTATCTCTATCTATCTATCTATCTATCTGTTTGTTATCTATATATAGTTATCACCTATTTATCTCTCTATCTCTATCTCTATCATATATTCAACCAGCCATATATCCAGTCATCTATATCAATCAATCTTATCTCTCTATCATTATTTATCATGTGTCTTTAATTTCTATCTATATGTTTCATCAATCGTATCTATGTAATCTATCTATCTATCTATCTATCTATCTATCTATCTATCTATCTATCTATCTATCTATCTACCCACCCCCCCTCTCTCTTTATCTATCTATTAAACTAGTCTGTGACCCACTTTTCAAAGACGAGTCTGTGTGACTTACAAACATTGGTTAAAATACACTATAAAACATTAAAACAGTAAATAAAGATCTGGAATGCAATTAAATGCAATTAAAATAAAACTAAGCAGGATGGAGACAGAGGGAGCCAAGTATGCACAGGGGGAAGGTACAGTAGGGTGTTCCCTGGTCCATCAGCCACTCCCAAAATGCCACACTCCCATTGGGGGCCCCCCAACTAGTTGGCACCGTCATGTCTTCAAGGCAGGCCAACGTCCTGGGGCGACATCCGTGGCTGCCGTGGTCTGAAAATTCAGTGGCTCCAGTGTGTTTGCAGGCTCTGTGCACAGTGGCATGCAAAATATTGTGTATCACACCCGGTTTATTCCTTCCTTCCTTCCTTTCTTTCTTTCTTTCTTTCTTCCTTTCTTTCTTCCTTCCTTCCTTCCTTCCTTCCTTCCTTCCTTCCTTCCTTCCTTCCTTCCTTCCTTCCTTCCTTCCTTCCTTCTTTCCTTCTTCCCACAATCTGGGGATCTGTCCCCGAAAAAATTAAAATCTATCATCCGATGGTTGTGCTTTCAGCCTGGAGCTCTGGAAGGACTTTTAAAAGATTAATTGTTAGCAATTCTTAGAGTAATTTTCTCCTCTTCCCTTTCCACTTAAAATATGGAACGCGTGATTGCATTGTTCTCTGCTGGCTTCCTAGCCTTGGGATGGGTTGACAGACATAAGGCATTGTTTCGGCTTAATGTTGCTTGCTTAAATTAGGAATAAGTCTCTTTCAGGATGCCTTTGTTCAGCAGTTTTGGTGCCAGCTTTACGACGTACGTAGAACTTAGAATAACAGCGCTGGAAGGGACCTCTGAGGTCTTCTAGTCCAACCCCCTGCTCGAACAGGAGACCCTATACCATTTCAGACAAGTGGCTGTCCAGTCTCTTCTTAAAAACCTCCAGGGATGAAGCACCCACAACTTCTGGTGGCAAGCAGTTCCACTGGTTAATTGTCTTCACTGTTAGGAGGTTTCTCAATTCTAGGTTGCTTCTCTCCTTGACTAGTTTCCAACCATTGTTTCTCCTCCTGCCCTCTGGTGCTTTGGAGAATAACGTGACCCCCTCTTCTTTGGGGCAGCCCCTCAAATACTGGAGTGCTGCCATCATGTCTCCCCTATTTCTTCTTTTCTTTAGACTGGCTATTTCCTGCTAGTTCCTGCAACCGTTCTTCATATGTTTTACTCTCCAAGCCTTTAACCATCGTAGTTGCTCTTCTTGGCAATTTTTCCAAAGTCCCAACATCTTCTTTGGAATGTGGTGACCAAAACTGGATGCAGGATTCTAGGTTTGGCCTTACTAAGGCTGTATAAAGCGGTACTAATACTGTACGTGAAAATATATTTATTTTCTTTTGACAGTGGGCGTCCTCTCCTCTCCTATCCTATCCTATCATCCTGTCCTATCCTAACCTATCTTCTTATCTTATCCTATCATATCATCCTATCCTATCATCCTATCCTATCATCCTATCCTATCCTATCATCCTATCCTATTATCCTATCATCCTATCCTATCATCCTCTCCTATCCTATCATCCTATCCTATCATCCTATCCTATCATCCTATCCTATCATCCTATCCTATCTTATCATCCTATCCTATCCTATCCTATCATCCTATCCTATCCTATCTTATCCTATCCTATCTTATCTTACCCTATCCTATCCTATCCTATCTAATCCTATCCTATCCTATCCTATCCTATCTTATCTAATCCTATCCTATCTTATCTAATCCTATCCTATCCTATCCAATCCTATCCTATCCTATCATCCTATCCTATCTTATCCTATCCTATCCTATCCTATCCTATCCTATCCTATCTTTTTAGCTCATCTTAGCTCATATATCTTAATTGCAACAGCCGACACTTTTAATTCTGGTGTAGTGGACCAGTTTGAAAAACCATCTGGAGGCCCCTTGTTAGTGGAAGCCTTTCTGATTTTCCCCTTCCCCAAAACCTAAGCTTAGATTGGATCTAAATCGGACCTATAACCAATGCAAATATAAGAATAAGGCAGGCTGTATCTAAGCCATCTTTGTTTCGTCGTCTGAATTCTCAATGGTCAACTCTCCAAACCTCCTAATGCAGCGTTTCCCAACCTTGCCAACTCCCCGATGGGAGGACTTCAACTCCCAGAATCCCCCAGTCTCGGGGGGGAGGGGAATTGCTGAGAATTCTGGGAGTTGAAGTCCACCGGTGTAAGAGTTAACTTGGGTTGGGGAAAAAAAACGCACGCCCTCCTGGACCCTGCAACCAAACGGGGTTGGACTAGTTGATCTCTGAGCTCCCTCTCAACTCCAGGGTCCCATGACACGGCCTCTTCCCTGTCCTGGGGAATCAAACATCTGGAGATGAAGCTCTGATCAGCAAAGGGAAGGAGGGTCCACCTACCTGCCCCACCATCCAGAGCCTTTTTTATCTCTGCAGGTTTTTCTGCTTTAAAGCTGCAAATTTCCAGAAGCTGAGCCAAAAAAAGAATCGAAAGGGGATTTGTATAATGACTCCCTAATAACCCTGCCTTCCCTTCCCTGCAAGTAGTAAATGATTTGTTTTCCACTTTTCTATCAAAAGCCTTATTACCGACCTGCGCTGAGAAAAAACTCTTCTCATTTCCCTTTGCTGCCCACTTTCCCCAAAGCCTGCAATTAGACATTTTATGAAATAATAGGAGAGATGTGAGGAGAGGGGCGGGGAGGAGAGAGAGAGAGAGAGAGAGAGAGAGAGAGAGAGAGAGAGAGAGAGAGAGAGAGAGAGAGAGAGAGAGGAGAGAGAGAAAAAGGGAAAGAGAGAGGCAAAGAGAAAAAGGGAAAGAGAGAAAGAAAAAGACAAAGAAAGAGGGAAAGAGAAAGAAAAAGAGACAGAGAGAAAGAGAAAGAGGGAAAGAGAAAGAAAAAGACAGAAAGAGGGAATGAGAGAGAAAAAGAGAAAGAGAGAAAGAGAGAGAGAAAGACAAAAAAGAAAGAGGCAGAGAGACAGAAAGAGAAAAAGGGAAAGGAGAGGGAGAAAAAAAAGAAAAAAGAAAAACACAGAAAGAGAAAGATAGTAAACAGAAAGAAAGAAGAAAGGGGAAGAGAGAAAAAGAAAGAAAGAAGAAAGGTAGAGAAAAAGAAAGAAAGAGTGGAAAAGAGAGAAAAAGACAAAGACAGAAAGAGAGACAGACAGAGAAAGGAACGGGGAGAGAGAGAGAAAAGAGAAAGAAAAAGGGAGGGAGGGAGAGAAAAAGAAACAGAGAAAGAGGGAAAGAGACAAAGAGAAAGGAAAAGAGAGAGGCAGAGAAAGGGAAAGAGAGAAAGAAAAAGACAGAAAGAAAGAGGGAAAGAGGCAGAGGCAAAGAGACAAAGGGAAAGAGAGAAAGAAAAAGAGACAGAAAGAGGGAAAGAGAAAGAAAAAGAGACAGAGAAAGAGGGAAAGAAAAAGAAAGGCAGAGAGAGAAAGAAGGAAAGAGAAAGGCAGACAGAAAAAAGGGAAAGAGGGAGAAAGAGAAAGAAAAAGAGATGGGAAGAGAGAAAAAAGAGAAAGAGAGAGAAAGTGGGAAAGAGAAAAAAGAGAGAAAGAGAAAGAGAAGAAGTGTGTGTGTGTGAGAGAGACAGAGAGTGAGTGAGAGAGAGGGGAAAAAGCCCCCCCCCCACCACCTCTTGTCTGTGGCTGACAAATCAACCCCATTTGTACAAAATTACACAGCCGCACAAGAGATTAAACGCTGCTTCTCCGCTCGGCGCATGGAGCCGTCCTCGCGGACTTGCCGCCACGGCGTCTTTTTTTGGAAACAGCACATTGTGTACTTTTGCAGATAATTGAGTGTAGAATGGAGCCGTTGCGTATTCAGAAGCAGGTCACATCGGAGAGGCGCGCCTGTCTCCCTCGGATCACCCCATTTGGGCAGCCTCTGCAAATTTGCAGCCCTGTCTGCTCCCGTGCGTGTGTGCGTGCGTG